AGCTCCTGACCCAGATGCCACAGGGATGGATGGATGAGAGATGGCTGGAAAGACAGATGGGTGGATGGGTGAATAGGTAGATAAATAACTAGATAGATAGATACAGAATGAATGGATGGATGCATGGATGGAGGGATAGCTGAATGGTGGGTGAGGACAAAGAGAAGGATGGAAGGGTGGAGAGGAGTGGATGGTTGGATGGACAGATAGAAAAACAGATGAATGGGTGGTTGGATGGAGTGGTGAACAGGTGGATAAATGGTGGGTGCATGACTGAATGGATGGATTGATGAGTGGCCGGATGAATGGCTGAATGATGAGTGATGGACTTATGGACAGTGGATGGATAAATACATGGATGGATGGATGGATGGATGGATGGATGGATGGATGGATGGATGATTAACAAAATGGATGGAGAGATAGATGCATAGATGGGTGGTGGATGGGTGGATGGATGGATGGATGGATAGGTGAACGATTAAAGAAATTGATGGAGAGGTGGATGGATGGATGGATGGATGGATGGATGGATGGATGGATGGCTAGTAGTGTGAATGAATAGAGAAGTAGATGGATGACGGATGGATGGTTGGATGGATGGGTGAGTGAATGGGTGTGTTACAGATTGAACCATGTCACTTAAATATATGTGGCATGAATCCCAACCTTTCAGCCTGTGATTATAACTCCAGTTGGGAAAGAGTTATCTTTGTTAAATCAATGAGGCTGGGTTCATGTAGGCTGTATCTTGCGTCCATCTCTTATGAGATATAAGAAGAGATTAAACAAGCAAGGGAAGCCAAGGTGGGGGAAGAGAGGTGGTACACCACCAGATGATGGGCAGGGAGCAGAAGCTCAAGGTGACAGAGACCTTCCCCCCAGAGGTGGCAGAGAGAACCAACCCTTCCCCAGGTGCCAATGCCCTGAATTCTAGCTTCCTGAACTGTGAAAAAATGCACTGCTGCTTGCAAAAAATCGCCCACCTGTGGCATGATCATTCCCGCAGCACTAAGTAACTAAGACCAGGTACATGGCTGGATGGCTGGATGCATGTTGGGAGAGTTGGTTGGATTGATGAATGGTTGAATGAATGGATGGATGGATGGATGGATGGATGGATGTGGGATCTGCTCCTTCTGTCCCAGCAGCTGGCATGGGATTTCCCAGACGTTGCTCCACCTTCCCACGCCCCCAGTGTTCTCTCCCCCTAGATGCTTCCTAGAACCAATTGCTTTGGGATTCCCATCCAATTGCATGGGAAGGGACCCCATGACGGGTCCCTTCCCTCCTGTCACAGGGTCAGCTGTGACCCTGGTATCTCCAAAGTCTTCTTGCCCACCTCCTCAGGAATCTGCACCTTTGCCAACCCAGCATCGGGGGTCACATCTCCCCAGGGCCTGTCTCCCTTTGCAGCATGGATTCAACCAACCCTCACCCACTCGCCACCCCTCCGGTACCCCAGGCCAAGTCACTCAGGCCATCAGCAAGCATTCACTGAGCAGCTACTGTGTCCGAAGAACTCTGCAAAGGCCTGCGTGGAAGCTCCAGCAAGGGAGCGGATGTCAAAGAAACCCTGCCCTTGTGGGGTTGGCTGTCTAGAGCAGAGACAGGCGCGAAACAGGACAAGCCGTCAGTCCTTCAAAGACGCTGGGTGGTGACCAGTGGAGAGGAGTCAAATAGGGGTAAGGGGTAGGGGTTGGGGGAGATTGGCAAGAGAGCAGAAAGGGCGTCTGGGAAATGCTGGGAAAGGCCTCTCTGGAAAGTTGTGGTTGGACAGACGTGAGGAAAGGGAGGCAGAGAAGCTGTTTGGTGGAAGAGCCAGGTGGGAAGGAGGCGGGAATGGTCGGCCATTGCAAAGGCCTCTAAGCAGTGATTCTCCGCCTCCCTCATGCCGTGTCTCTTTCATACAGTTCCTCATGTTGGGGTAACACCCCTCCCCCACGCATCAAATTATTTTCATTGCAACTTCATCACTGTCATTTTGCTACTGTGATGAATTGGGCGACCCCAGTGAAAGGGTCCAAAGGGGTCACGACCCACAGGTTGAGAACCGCTGACTTACTGCGCGATCCCGTTTCCATGCCCCCTGCCTCCAGCCCCTCCCCCTTGTCCTTTAGGACCCTGTGCTTCCCGGAAGGCGCTTGAGCCCTGAACATTCAGCAGAACACCAACCAGGCTGGTGAAGTCGATCATTCGCAGCAGAGAGGGACAAATTCCTCGAGCAGCCAACCAGAGAAGCTTAAAAGGGCAGCATGTGCCCCAGGTGACTGTTCAGAAGAGGCAGGAAAGGACAGGTGGAACTGGTAAGGCCCTGGGTGGACTCAGGGTCCGGAATCAGAATATGGAGGGACAGTCGCACAGACAAGTCATGTGCTCCACGTAAGCTTTCACCCAAATCGCAAGACACCATGAAAGCCAAACCTAAAACCCAAACCAAACTCATTGCCATTGAGTGGACACCAGCTCTTAGCAGGCCTGTAGGTAGAACTGCCCCCCCACCCTCTGCCCCAGTGAATTTACGAGATAGTAACTCTTTATGGGAGTAGAAAGTCCTGCCTCATGAACTCTTGATAATGTATGTATATTTTTATTTCGTATATTGTTTTTGTTGTTGTTGTTCATGTCTTACACTGACCGCTGTCTCCGTGCACCCACTTTTCTGTTCTCCGTCCCCCTGGGTGGGCATTATATATTGATCATTGTGATTGGTTCCCCTTGTCCCCCCACCCCACCTTTCCCTTCCCCTCCTGGTATCGCTACTCTCATTATTGGTCCTGAGGGTCTTATCTGTCCTGGATTCCTTGTGTTTTGAGCTCTTATCTATACCAGTGTACATGCTCTGGTCTAGCCAGATTTGCCAGGAAGAATTGCGGTCTTGATAGTGTGGGGCAGGGGGAGGAAGCATTCAAGAACTAGAGAAGAGTTGTATGTTTCCTCGGTGCTATACTGCACCCTGACTGGCTCGCCTCTTCCTGTGACCCTCTGTGAGGGGATGTCCGATTGTGAACAGACGGTAACTGTTCACGCAAGTCAAAAGCACTCTTTCTCCTACGGAGCGGTGGGTGGTCTCGAACTGCTGCCCTTGAGGATCTCAGCCCAGTGGGTCACCAGGGACAGGAGCAGGTGATCAGAGCCAGGAGGAAGCAAAGGGCAGCGGCAGCAGAAGAAAGACAGACTAGACTCAGGCCTGGGGGCCCCCAGGCACCAGGGGCACCCCAGTTGAGGAGCACACTGGACCCAGATGAGAACAGCTGGCCTCTCACCAAGCCCTGGGCACTGACAGAAGCCCTGAGGCTCAGACTGAAAGTAGAAAAGGTAGAGAAGGCATGGAGGTGGGCTGGAGGGCTTCCGGCCACAGTCTTGTTCCCAGATGGACTTTAGGACCACGAGTAGAGGGTACGATGCCCCGGAGCATCCTAAGTTGGAGGGCAAAGGGACTGTGTAACCTTGGGCAAGTCGGCTCACCTCTCTGAGCCTGCAATCTGACGTGCCCCTCACATGCCGTGGCTCAGCGGCCGAGAGTTCCCTTGGGCACCTGCGAGGAAACAGGAGAGAAGCTTCTAGAAATGCTCCACTAATTGTCCCTGGCGGTTCGTCCCGTGGGTAGCAGGGAGGCCGCGGAGCCGAGACCTTTGGTTTCTTTCCTTTTGTGGGCTTGTTTCCCCACGAATGGTCCTCTTAATGAGGGACACGGCTTCCCTTTGTCTGATAATAATTGGTATAATAATTGCTATAACGATAATAAGTCGTCTCTGCTGGGGAGGTTGAGCTTTCTGGACAGACGCCAGGTTTCTGAGACCAGGGGTGGAGCGTGTCCGTTTCTGAAGGAGCAGAGCAGATGGCAGCCCCGGGGGAGTTTACAGGTGGTAAACTGAGGCACCACAGGGCTGTTGGAATTGTCTCCAGGGGGAGCTGGGACTCCAATCTGGTGGTGTGGCCTTCCAAATCCCATCCTGCTGTGTCTCTCACTGTCTCTCTCTCACTCTGTGTCTCTGTCTCTACCTTAGTCTCTCTGCTTTGGTGTGTCTCGGACTTTCCCCTAGTATCTCTCTCTCTCGGTGTGTCTTTGTGTCTCCTTTGGTCCCCATCCCTGTATGTCTGTTTCTTTCTTGGTCTCTGATTTTCTGCCTCTTATCTCTGGTCTCTTTCCCTCGATGTATCTCTGCCTCTCCCTTGCCTTCTTTTTCATTGTGTCTCTGTTTCTGTCTCTGTGCATATCTCTGTCTCTCCCTTCATCTAGGTCTCTGTGTGCCCCTATCTCTCCTTTGGTGTCTCTCTGTCTCTGTATGTGTCATCTCTCTCTTGGTCTATCTCTGTGTCTCTGACGCTCTGGTGATCTCTCTCCATCTCTGCGTGTTCCTGTCTCTCCCTTGGCCTCTCTCCTCTGTCTCTGTCTCTCCCTTGGCCTCTCTCCTCTGTGCCTGTGGGTCTCAGACTCTCCCTGTGCATGCCCCTCCCAGCGCCCCCCACCCCAAGTTTCTGTCTTGTTCCTAAGCTGGGCCTCACACTTGGGATGACTTGGAGCAGATGGCAAGTCTTGAATGAATGAACAGAAGGATGGATGGATGGATGAATGGATGGATGGATGGGTAGATAGATGGACAAACTCAGGGAGGTGCAGATGGCTGGGCCCTCTGAGCTTCGTGCGGAGCCCTATTTTCCAGGTGGGCACAGACACGCCCACACCGTCAGCCAGGAAGATGGGGGTGAGGCTGGCGCCGGGTTCCCGGCCAGCCGGCAGGCCGCGCTGGCCTCAGGCCGCCCATCACCACCCCTCCCCGCCCTCGGCTAAGGGAGGCTCCCTGGGTGCCTCTCCCCGCTGTTGGAGGCGTGGGTAGCAGCTGGGAGAACCGGCTGGGTGCTGCCCCTCCCCTTGGGCCGGGCGTGGAGGTAGGCACCTGGCGGGGCTCCGCGGGTGGCAGACGCTGCCGCTGCGCACACCTGGCCCTCCAGCCGCCTGATCCCTGCGCGTCCTCCCCTGCAGGTCCTCGCCCGCCATGGACGGGTCCGCCGAGCCCCGGATCCCGGGCCTGTGCGACACCTACCAGAACAACATCACGGAGATCAGGTAAGGCTCACTCACACCTGGGCGCCAGCTCCGAGAGCCCCCCACCCCACCCACCGCCAACCGCGCTCAGCAGGGCCCGGCGCCCTGGGGTGGGAGGCGCGCAATGCCACAGCCGGTCCTGGAGACTCCTTCCGCCTGGGGCGTCGCTGGGGTCAGCAACCTCTGGGCCTCTGCTTCTCTTTCTGTCTTGACAGTCCGCCAGTCTATTGTCTCCCAGTCCTGGGACAAGCGAGCCCTCATTGAATGGGAGTGCTTTTCCCCTGGGGACTCAGAATGTGCCACCTGCCTGTTTGGGGCACAGAAGAGAGGGACTTGGGGTGTGTGTGAGTCCCGGAGTGGTGGACTGAATCCTAAAGGAAGCGATGGGGTGGGGGTGGGGGGCTAAGGGGCACTGCGCCAGCTGATCGCCCAGGAGTGAGGACCGTCTTCGGCAACCTCTCAAAGTTCCTGAGAACGAGTCAGACACTGAAGAGCGGATGGGGAAACGGAGGCTGGAAGGGACCAGATTAGACTGAGATGCTGGAAGCAATTGGAGCCCTTGCCTCCACAGCCCGGAGCCCCAAGCATCCTGGGGGCCCCTTGCCAAATGCCTCCATTTTTCAGAGGTCAGGATTCAGAAAGGGCAGGTAGGTTGCCCAAGATCTCACAGTAAACTGCTTTCACTATCTCCAACCTGCTCTGCTGAGCTGGCCTCCCTGGGCCCGTTCGGTCACCCTGGGCCTTGGGGCCAGTTGTCTCATCTGTACTGTAGAGTTTCCGGGACCTCCTTGGCCCTGGGAACCTCGGCTGGTGAGGGGTGGGGGGATAGGTCTCCCTCCCTGCTCACCCAGCACTCTCTAGCTACAGAGGTTAGTTGCATCCTGGTGGCTGTGTGATCCAAGTTGGCCTCAGAGTGGGTCTCTGGGCCTGGGGTTAAGAGTGACTGGTTGTGGTTCTGCTCAGAGTAGCTTCTGGGCCTCGCTGGAGGTTGTATAGCTTCTCCTTCAAGAGAGAGGCTGGATCCTGGGTTCTTGCTTTTGGGGAACCCGTCTCTTCTGTGTCTACCCCTCCCCCCACCCCCACCCAGGAGCACTAGCTCAAGTGTGTGACCTTGACCTCTCTGATCCTCAGTCTTCCGCATCTAAGAAATGTGGGGGTGGGGGGGAGGTGGAGTGGGGTGGAGTGGGGGCGGACACAAAGATCCTCGCTGTAAAGATCAATGAAAAAGAATCCTGTTCTGGGATGGACAGGTGGCTCTGAAGTTCGGTTATCAAATCTTGGAAGGGTATCACTTCGATCATGATGATTTCATTAGTGTGTAAAAAATAGACTTAGGGCTCTTGAACAATTTTTATAATGTTGTGAGGGACAGGATTGGCTCTTCCATCTCCAAAGTTTGTGGACAACACCACCACCACCACCACCCCCCCCACACACACACACACACTAGGCTAGACCCTTTCTTTCCCTCTGGGTGGCTCCACTCCTACACCAGGCACCTTATCTGCACAACATCCCCACCAAGCTGGAGGGTACCCTCAAAATTCTTCTTCCTCCTAGATGCTCCCAGTCACCAACCAGGTGGGACCCCCCCACCTGGACCCCCCACACTGTCCTTGCCCCAGGCCTCATCCCTCCAGCACCCAGCTCTCTCAGGCTACCTCCTCTTCTTGGTCCTGTGGCCATGCCTTGACTCCGTCTAGTTCCCTACTCTGGACCCTTGTGTCCCTGTCTCCCCATAGAGCCCACCATCCCTCCACTCCTTAGCCCCCAGCCCCTCAGCAGGCTCTCCCCCGCCCCCCAAATCTTTTCATCCTGCCCAACCCACAGCCCAACCCCCCTCCCCCTCTTCATTCCATTCTCCACCCCCACCCCCTTGGCTTCAGATTCCCAGGCCACACCTTTCTGTTCCCTGCCCCAGTGCCTTTGCATGCCTGGTGCCCTTGGCAGGGATACCCGAGAGGTCTCTTCTAAGCCCCCAATCAATATCCCTGGCCCTTCCTAGCTCTCATGCTTGCTGGGGGTACCCCAGTGTCCACCGCTAAACTGTGTCGCTGCCTCTCATCTTCTGAAGCAGGAACCATCAGGCCAGATCAAGACCTGGTTTAAGATGGGGGAGTGGGAAAAAAAAAAGATGAGGGAGTGACGTTTTTTTGGGGGGGCGAGGATCTCCCTTCTCCTCTCTTCTTCCTCCTCACCTCTCCGCTCTACCTACTACACAGCTTGAGACCTCCTGCCCTGGCCTTGTTGCCTGCCCAAACCTCCCCCTGGCTGCTTCCCGACCCAGCCCAAGCTGAACCTCCCACCTCAGGACCTTTGCACGCACATCTTCTTCTCTCCAGATGGCCTCTGCCCTCCCCCTGTACTTGACAGGCATCCTCTCTGCTTTTAAGATTCTAAGAGGGCAGAGTCCTCGCCTCGACGAGGGGCCGGAGGAAACTTCCAGAACGGTATGGGTCCTGGCTCTCACATCTGTCCCCAAGCTCTCCCCCCTAGTAGGCAAATGGTGGTTGGCTCTTAGAGAGAGGCAGAACTGGACTGGGCTCAGGGACCCGGGCCACCTCCGAGGTGAGATGAGAGAATGAACAGAGGTGAGCTGGGGCCCCTGAGTGACGTGATGGGGGTGATGGAGCGTGAGTCAGGGTTGGGCAGATATGTGAGAGGGGGGCAGGCCAGGCATGGCAGGACAAAGAAGCCAGACTTCGAGGAAGGGGCAGCCTGGGTGGCAGGAAGGACCCAGGAGTACAAAACCCAACAAGCTCACAGCCATCGAGCCGATCTCCACGCCACACGATCCTCCAGGACAGGGTAGAATTGCCCCTGTGGGTTTCAGAGATGGTACATCTTTCTGGGTGCAGACAGCCTCACCTTTCTCCTGTGGAGCCGCTGGTGGGTTCGAACTGCTGACCTTGAGGTTAGCAGCCTAACAAATAAGCCACTACACCACCAAAGTTCCTCCATGAATATACCCACTGCCATCGAGTCGATTCCCAGCCCCTAGCGACACAATAGAGCAGAGTGGAACTGCCCCTGGGGGTTTCCAAGACTGTACAGACAACAATACCCCTTGAAATTAAAGGGGAAATGTAGTGCCCAGGAAACCACCCAAAGGAGAAAAATGAAATCATCTACTGCTTTGGGAATAAGCTTTTATGTGGAGACACACAAACAAACAAAAACCCAATATACGGGAATGCTAACGCTGCCATGCCCATGCGGGGTATCGGTTGGAGGAAGAGGCGGACGGGGCAGGGAAGGGATCAGAGACGCTGACCAGACACAGGGTCCGAATGTTCTCATTCCAGGAGTTCCTGGTAAATTAGGCTGGCTGATTTGCCTATGTGCCATGTAGCCTTGTATGGATCGAATTGACTAACGAGGAAATGGCAAGATAGACGAAGTAGATTTCGAAGTCAGGGCAGGCAGGGATTGAGGCAGTTAGACTCAGTGTACCGAGGACAGAGCCAGAGGAGACAGCTGCCCTGAGGTTGATACTGCCTTGTGGGGCCCCCGTCGGGGTAGCACTGTCCCCCATAGCATCTTCAGTGACTGGTGACTTGGAAAAGGAGCCCTGGGGAGCAGTGGGTTACCTGTCGGGCTGCTAACCCCAAGGCCAGCAGTTCGAAACCACCAGCCGCTCCCCGAGAGAAAGATGAGGCTTTCTTCTCCTAGAGAGTTACAGCCTCGCACAGCCACAGGGCCAGTTCCACCCTAGGCCTTCGGGGGTCGCAGTGAGCCAGCGTCCACTGGGCGCCAGTGAGTTGGGTTTCGGTTTGCATGGTTCCAAAGTAGATCGCCAGACTTTTCTTCCAAGGCACATCTGGGTGGCTCTAATCGCCAATCTTCACTTGGCAGCAGAGTGTGTGAAGCACCTGCGTGCACCCCACGCCCTGGGCCCCACTAATCCCTGGGGAACCCCAAAGTCATCGCTGTCAGGTGGACTTGTCCCCGCATTGACCGCGTGTGTCACGGTAGAACGGTGCTTCGCCGCGTTGCCGTGGGTGCTATCTTCAGGGAATCGGATCGCCAGGATTTTCTTCCTGGGCGCCCCCCACCCCCGTGGTTTCGAACCAACCACCTTGTGGGGCGTGGTGGAGTGCCAACTGCTTGCGAGTCTCCAAAGGCCTCTCCACGAATCCCTATGACACCCCCCCACCCTCCCCGCCCTGTTGAGTTCATTCGATTCCGTGGGTGAAATACTCCGAGGTGCTGAGCCACGGCTGGGGGGCCTCATGGAAGCCACCTCCTGACAGCCTTCCGAGAGGACCCCACTGGTCCCAAGGCACTATGGCCGATGGTGAAAACAGAAAGGTCGCCGGTTCACGCCCACCCAGGAGTGGGGAGGGGGGGGGGGGGCTCCACGGAAGAATGACTTGGGGGGGTCTGTCCCCATAGAGGCCGCAGGACCACTCGGGGCCACCCCACAGCAGGAGGGGCCCAGAGAAGCTGAGCAACCCACGGAAGGTGGCACAGCCTCCCAGGAAATGCCCCAGGGCAGCTCCCCCACCCCCCCACTACGGGATGAGCTGGGGTGAAAGGAATTTCAGGAGGAGCGAGGCCAGGGCGGAACCAAGCCCTGAGGACTGGCAGCAGGTGCATTTTTTCACCTATGCGTTCCTGAGAGCCAGCCATTGGCACGGGAGGCCTGGTGGCCTTGGAGACGCCTGGGCACTGCCCACTTCCCCTCCCGCCCACTCCCCGTACGCCACCCCCCACCCCCACCCCCACCCCGTGATCTTTGCCTCTCCTGCCTGAGCACTTTCTGACCTCTGCCTCCTTACGGCGGGAAGGGCCCGCCCCGCCGCTTGGAGGCTTTTCCAAGGCGGAGCTCCAGGTGATGGAGCCTTGCGCTGGGGACAGTGCGTGCGCGTTTATAGGGAAAGGTGCTTGGGGGGCGTGTTTTGTTCGTGTTGTTTTCAGTTTTCAAGATAAATTGTCATGAAGCTCATAATCTCACCATTCAGGAATACTCGAATACGTCCATGCTATGTGCCCTGGATTGTTTTATATACACGCAGGGG